GATACTGATGAGCTAGAAGAAAGAAAAAGTTGCTAATGGGGTCCGTTAGTGGGTGAAAATGGGCTGGCTGTGGTGAAAGCAGCTCGTGTGATGACAAGACCTGGTGTGTGGGGGTGGGGAAGCTGTCAGAACAGTCCCTCATTTTCCATTTGGTGGCCTCGCACCCTTTGGAACTCAATTTCAAATATAATAATTTTATTGCCTCAGCACTTCTTCCTTGTCATTCTCCCACCTACTGTTCTCCCTTCCTAGGCTCCACCTCCATCTATCGTTTATTCCTTCTCCTCTCCCCATCTTCAGCATATATACTGATCTTTTCCTAGCTACAATTGGTTCTGAAGAAAGGTCACTGGATCCAAAACATTAACTCTGCTTTCTTTCCACAGATGCTGCCAGACTTGCTGAGCTTCTCCAGCTATTTGTGTTTTTGTTCCCATACCAGGCTTTTGTCCAATAAATCTTGTCTGAACTGCTTCCAAAGCATTTCCTTCCTTAAATAAGAAAATCGATGCAGTACGTACTCGAGTTGTGGTCTCACCAAAGCCTTGTATAACTGAAGCATAACTTCCTTACTTTTGGATTAAGTTAGCCTGGTGATCAACAATAACATTCTATTAGCTTTCCTAACTACTTGCTGCACCTGCACACCGGCTTTTTATGATTCACGAACCAGAACACACATTCATCTGCAACTCAGACCTCTGCAATCACTCATTTTTGTTTTCTTTCTGACAAAATGGACCAATTCAAATAAATAATGGAACCTACTCCAAATTTAGGAAATTTTGTAAAATGTAAACCAACAATGTCACTACTTCTTTTAAGAATCTGGAATGATGTTTAACAGTACTCAAAGGACTTGTTGGCCTGCACTTCAAAAGACTTGATCAGTCTGAGTTGACAGGTGTGTTCTTTGGTTAGATCAGCAGATCGTTGTCTGTAGTGTTCCTGGTACGCTTCTTTTCGGTCGAGGCTATCTTGAAATCCGTTGTACAAGGAACCCCCAGCTTCTGTCACGACATTACAGATTTATTACAGAAACACAGCACTCACAGACCAGTCGAACCAGGAACAATCCTCGTCACAATGGACTTTGGCACTCTACACCAGCATTACCCACGATGATAGCATTGATGCAACAGCCTCAGTACTCAACACCAACAAATGCCAATTTCGAGACACCATCCTACAACTCATTCGCTTCATCCTCGATCGCGTCTTCACCTTCGACAACTAGTTCTTCATCGAGACACAGTGAACAGCCATGGGGACCAAATCTGCACCCCAATATGCCAACATTTTCATGCACAAGTTCAAGCAAGACTTCTTTGCTGCAAAGGACCTTCAACCAATGCAATACACAGGATACAATGACAACATTTTCTTCCCCTAGACTCATGGCGAGGAATCACTGAAATGACTATATAACAATATCAACAAGTTTCATCCCACCATCAGACTTTATATGGACTACTCTTCAGAATCAGTCTTATTCTTGACACATACACCTCCATCAAGGACAGACAACTCAATACCTCAGTCTACTACAAACCCACAGATAACCTCATGATGCTGCACTTCTTTAGTTTCCACTCTAAACAAGTTAAAGAAGCCATCCCCTACAGACAAGCCCTGCATATACACAAGATCTGCTCAGACAAGGAAGAACACAACAGACACCTAAAGATGCTCTCGCAGGAAAGGGATACGATGCTCAACTCATCAATCACCAGTTCCAAAGTGCCACAGTGAAAAACCACAACAAGCTCCTCAGAAGACAGACATAGGACACAATTGATAGAGTATCCTTCATCATTCAGTACTTCCCCAGAGCACAGAAACTACACTATGTTCTTTGCAGCCTTCAACATGTCATCAATTACAATGAACATCTCACCAAGATCATCCCTACACCCCCACTTCTCATCTTCAAACAACTGCCAAACCTTAACAGACCACTGTTCGTAGCAAATTACCCAGCCTTCAGGGCAAGATCAATCACAACACCACACAACCCTGCCACAGCAACGTCGGCAAGTCATACCAGATCATCAACATGGTCACTACCATCACACATCGGACCACCACCCACATGGCAGATACTCACGTGACTCTCAGTCAATGTTGTCTACCTCGTACGCTCAGGCAAGAATGCTCCAAGCTATGGTATATTAGCGAGACCGTGTAGACCCTGTGGCAATGGATGAAGGGACACTATATAACAATCACCAGACGGGAGTGTTCCCTTACAGTTGGGGAACACTTCAGCGGTGGAGGGCATTTAGCCTCCAATCTTCGAGTAAGCATCGTCCAAGACAGCCTTCGAGACACAAAACAATGCAGAATCGCCCAGCAGAAACGGATAGTCAAGTTCCATATCCATGAAGACAGCCTCAAACGGGATCCTGGGTTCATGTCACACTACAGAGAACCCCACCGCACAGTTCTGTATTTGTAAAATCTTCCTTACTGTCTTGTTTTGACACCATCACCTTGATAACTTGTTATGACCTCTCTACCTTAACGAGTATTACAGTTTTGGATTACTTGTTACTTTGGTTAGACCCTCAACATGCGACTCTAATACTTTTCATGTTAGTCCAGCCATTTGGTTGGTCTCCAACACCACCTTATTTTTAATTTTTTGCCATTATCTCTCTGCCTCATTTAATCGGATTATATATTATCCCTTCACTTACTATTTCAGCTGTTGACACTTTATTCACATTGTCTGATACTTTTAATCACCTGCAGAGACTTATTATTCAGCCTATCAACACTCCACTCGCACCATTTGTATGATCTTTTGATCTCTCCGCCTATAAATCTGAACCTGTAATGCTTTTCTTCACTTCATGGGATGAAGGGGCAGAGCTCCACAAGTTATGATTTCAAATAAACCTGTCGGATTATAACCTGGTGTCGTGCAACTTCTGACCTTATATAGGTTTATGAAATCATAAGGGGCTTAGATAAGGTGAATGACAAAGATCTTTCACCCAGGGTGGGGAAAGTTCAAAACAAGGGGGTATATTTTTATGATGAGAAAGCGTTAAAAATGACTTTTTCACAGAGGGTGGTGCGTATGTGGAATGAACTTCCAGAGGAAATGGTACATGCAGGTAGTGACAACATTTAAAAGATGTGGAGGTGCCAGCGTTGACGGTAAGTCTTAAAAATAGGCCCCCTTGTTTTGAACTCCCTCATACTAGGGAAAAGATCTTCGCTATTCACCTTATGTATGCCCCTTATGATTTCGTAAACCTCCAAGGTCACCCCTCAACCTCCTATATCTATGCTGTTCCAAAATCAATGATTTATATCCATAAAACCACAAACCTCTCTACTCTTCAATACCTCTTCGAATATTATTCTTTATATTATGTTGCCTCTCCTTGGTCTTCCAAACAAAATGAAACACTTCATACTTGACAATTCTCAAAAATATTGTCCACCTTTCTACTAGCCCATCTATATTCTCTTGAAGTCTATCACTACTGTCACAGTGCACAATATTCTCAAGATTATGTCATCTGCAAATTCTGAAATTATTCCCCGCACTCTTATGTCTAGTCCATTAATATTGATCAGGAAAACGTGGGCCAAATCAGAACCCCTAAAGAATTTTCTATATCTTCTTCCAGCCTGAAGGTAACACATTAACCACAAAGCTGATTCCTGTCATTCAGTGAACTTGGTTTCCGTGTCACTACTATCCCTTTTATTCCACGAGTATTAACTTTGCTGATGCTTGATGACCGGCATAGACATGACATGCTGAAGGGCTTTTTTAGGTTCAATAGAGATTTTACAGAACAGAAAGATCCTTCGGCCATCGTGACTGCACCAGTCATCGAACATCCATTTATTCGAATGCCCTACTCTTATGCTGTCTATATCCCTCATACCCACCTGTTTTTCTTTTTGTGTCATCTGCAATTTTGGCTATTGCACATTCATTTTATATATGTAAATAAAAATAATTGTGATCCCAGCACGGATCTCTGACATACCACTGTTACAGATTGCCACCCTGAAAATGCTCCCATTATCCCAACTCCCTGTCTTCTATTAATTATACAATCCTCTATCAATACTAAATACTACCTCCAACACCATGGGCTCTTATTAAGCAGCCTAATGTGTGGTACCTTATCAAATGGCTTCTGAAAATCTAAATCTATTACATCTATTGACTTCCCTTTATCAATCCTGCTGGTTACCTCTTCAAAGAATTCTAGTATATTTGTCAGGCCTGATTTCCCCTTCATGAAGCCATGCTGACACTGTTTTATCATATGTATTTCTAAATGTTCTGCTATATCTTAAGACATTTTCCATTGACAGAGGTTTGTATTCTTCTCCTTGTAAATAAAGGTGCTACATTTCCAGTCCTATGGGACTTTTAAAGGTTCACAGCATTCTTGGAAGATTACAACCAGTGCACCCACTATCTCTGTAGCTACTTCTTTTAATATCCTTGTGTAATAACTCAGGAAGCCCAAATGGAAAGGAACATCATTTATTGCTGAACACCAAAATAGACCCTCTATTCCTGGCGTACATAGGCTAATCCCTTCTTCTTTCAGTTTTGGAAGTGAGGAGTGCAAATGGATGAAGCATTAGTAATTCTGGGATGTTAGATGTGAAAATTAGTCACCGTAGAGTAACAAAAGGCAGGAGTGTGATAGTATGTGTGACATGTTTGCAGAGTACAGGGAGAGAGCAGAGAAGAGAATAGTGAGCACAGAAGAGAACAAAGAGAAGAGAAGAGCAGGAAAGAGAACAGAATATACTTTTTGTCACTTAGATTGCTGCCATTAGAAATTTCGATAGGAAAACTTGACAAAGATGATAATTCTAAGTAAGGTTTAGGAAAAAGAAATGGAAGGATGGAGAATGTCTGTCAATACAATAGAAACATAGTGCCTGCATTGGACATCCAACACATCAACAACAGGATCACACACTTCTCCATTTTTAAGTGCATCCAACTGTACCTCTTGTGGGTCATTCTCCAGTTTCAGGCCATCTCCTTTTTTCCGACTTTTACCTAAACAAAGGCAACAATTAGTTATTGGTTAACAAGTAGAAATTTTCCTCTCAGAAGCCAAGTACTCAAACAAATTATGAGGGCAAACACCTCATTTTAGTACCAGGGCAACAGAGCCAAAAAAAACCACAGCACTGAAAGCTTTTTGTTCCGAGACAACAGTGAATACGAACCCTCTGTCTGCTTCACCTAGGTCCCATTTGTTCTATTTCACTCTCCTTCCCTTTACATGCTACTATTAAAATAAGATACTTTAATTGTATTGCGAAAGTCAAAGTTTACATCACAGGTACAGAATTATTTAAGGTCTACACTGCCCCCAATAAGCGCTCCCAGGACAGGTATAGCAGAGATTTGGATATAGAGAAAAACACCCTCTACCCTATTAAACTGAAAGAAAAGCTCCCTTTACTCTTCTAAACTGAAAGTAAAGCTCCTCTCCGCTGCCCACATCAAACGCTCTTAGGAGACATGTACAACACAAGGTTAGATATAATGTAAAGCTGCCTCCACACTGTTCTCATCAAACACTACCAGGACAGGGACTGTAAGGGGTGAGCTGAGTTGTCGTTCTACGATGCCCCCATCAAACACTCACAGGACAGGCAGAGCTAGTTCAATGAAAAGTAAACGCTTCCAACGCAAGCAGGAATTAGTTTCAAAACAGACAAACAGGTTTAATAATAGTCACCAGAATTCGAGAATAACATTCCCCACAAGAACAGGGTAAACCCTCATTCTTCTGGAGCTTCCCACCAGGAAACATTGTTTCACAGGACTTCAGTGACGATGACTCGGCAGACATTAATTGGCCAGACTTAATTGTCTTTAAAAAGGCAGGGGTGAGCTGCCTTCATGAAACACTGCAGTTCTTAAGGCAATGGGGTACCTACATTGCTGTTGAGGATTTCCAAGAATTTGACCCAGTGACAGTGTAGGAATGGTGATTTATTTCCAAACAAGAGTCGGAGGAGAACTTGCATGGGGTGGTGTTTCCATGTATCTGCTACTCTTGTCCTTCAAGGTGGTACAGGTCAGATTTGAAAAGTGCTGTTGAAAGAGGTTTGGTGAGTGTCTGCAGTGCATCATGTAGATGGCACATACTGCTGCTATTGAGCATCAGTGGAGGAGAGATTGAATGTAAGAAGGTGATGGACGAGGTGGTCATCAAGTGCCTGCTTTGTTCTGGATGGTGTCAAGCTTGTTAAGTGCTGCTGGAACTGCACTCGTCCAGGGAGTCAAGCAGTGAGTTACACGTCACAGAATTCTCAGCTAGCAACTTGACCTTGTAATCGTGTTTATATATCACAGCCAGCTTGTCTACACTTACTATAAAGAGACACTCTCTAACCTAAAAACAGTGGCTTCAGCCACCATCTGTCTCTATGGACAATGGATTGCCCTTGGGAATATAGGCCACGTCTGGTTTGGAGAGACAGTATGTTTGTGGCTGTAGAGAGGTTGATTTGAGAGTATAGTCCCTTCAGCAGCCAAACTTCAGCCTTCAGCACACCATCATTTTTTGCAAACTTGTGATTTGTATTGTCTACTGCTTTTTCTGCACCCTTCCTAACTGTTCACGTCCAGCCTCTCTGGTGTGCACTTGCGTTGCACCATCACTTATCCAGACTAACACAAAATCTCACTTGCAGACATCCTCATACCACAGATGGTCTTGAGCAGACAGTGAGCTTCTAAGAGCATATTTTTGGGAATGCGGCTGTTGTCCATTGATCTCATACGACCCAGTGAATGGAGTCACCACTCACTCAAATGTAAACATGCTGATCACTTCACACTGGTATACTTCCATATTCAGCATCCTGTATAACAAGGTTATAGCCTCTTGTTCATCAGAGGCAACAAAGCTGGTAGATTTCACTTTTATTGATCTTAGTAGGATAATAGCTCGGCACAGCATCATGGCCGAAGGGCCTGTACTGTTCTATGTTCTATGTTTTTTCTTTTTGGCTTGCATTAACTCTTCTTGCCTCGCTACAGTATCTCATTGAAACTTACAGAATACTGAACCGCTTGGGTAGAGTGGACATGGAGATGATGTTTCCGCTAGTAGGAGAGACTAGAACACAACGGCACAATTTCAGAGCGAAGAGATGACCCTTTAGAACTGAGATGAGGAAGAACTTCTTCAGCCAGAGGGTGGAGAATCTGTAGAACTTACTGTCACAGAGGACTGTGGAGGCCAACTCATTAAGTATATTTAAGACAGAGATAAATAGGCACTTGATTAGCAAGGGGATCAACGGTTACGGGAAAAAGACAGAAGAACGGGACCGAAAAACATATCAGCCAAGATTGAATGGTGGAGCAAACTCAATGGGCCAAATGGCCTAATTCTGCTCCTACATCTCATGGTCTTAAAGTATGGAGAGTGCTGAGAACCTTTGACCAGGACACATGGAACTTTGGATTTTCAGAAAGTTTGTTGTTGGTTCATACTCATCTTCACAACTTTGATGTGTCAACTGAAGCCTTGGCATTCAGATAGTGATTTTGGCATCAAGGGACAGGTTGCTGGTAACTGTTGATCCAAGAAATATGAAGCTGTCAGCAACCTCTAAGATGAGGTTGCCAATACAGACGGAACGTGGAATCTCCATGAGAAACGTCCATTAGAAATAAGAACAGGACTAGGCCATTCCCCCTTGAGCCTGCTCTGTCATTCAATAGCATCATGGCTCATCTGACATTCCTTGCATCCACTCCCGTTTCCCCTGTCACCCTCGATTCTCTGACTGATCAGAATCTATCTCAGCCTTAAGTATACACAAGACTCTGCTCCCATAGCTCTCTGTGGCAAGGAGTTCCAAAGACACTCAGTTGTCTGAGAGAAGAGATTCCTCCTCATCAGTCTTAAATTGGTGCCCCTTTATTCTGAGAAAATGGCCTCTGGTCCTAGATTCTCCCATGAAAGGGACATCCTCTCAGCATTTACCCTATCAAGACCCTTAAGAATCCAATATGTTTCAATGAGATCACCTCTAATTAGTCTAAACTCCAGTGAATAAAATCCCATTCTGTTTAGTCTTTGCTTATAAACCAATCACTCCATAACTGGGATCATCCTAGTGAACCTTTCCTGAATGGCCTCCAATGAAATAAGATCGCTCCTTAAATAAGCAGATAAAAACTGCTTACAGTCCCCCAGATGTGGTCTTACCAGCACCTTGTACAGTTACAGTAAGACTTCCCTACTCATACTCCAACCCCCTCGATATAAGGGTCAACATTCCATTAGCCTTCCTGATTACCTGCTGCATCCGTGTGCAATGTTTAAGTTTTGCGCACAAGTAACCCCAAGTCACTGTATTGGAGTTTTATGCATTTTTTCCTCCATTTAAATGATACTGTTCTTTTGCTCTCCCTTCCAAAATGAACAACTCCACACTTCTTCACATTATGTTCCATTTGTCAACATTTTGCCTACTTACTTATCCTGTCAATTTCTCTCTGGAAACCATTTGCACGCCTCTTGCAACCTGCTTTTTCACTTCTTTTGCATCTGGAAATTTGACTACAGTACATGTCCTTTCTTCCCTGACGTCAATAATATATATTCTAAACAGTTGTGGTCCCTCTGTTCCACTACATTCCTTAAGGCCCTAACATTCACTATGAAACTCCTACCTTGATTTGACTTTCCAAAATACAACAGCTACACTTATCTATAATAAACTCGATTTGCCATTTTTCGGCCCACTTCCCCAGCTGATCAAGATCCTGTCGCAATTTCGGATAACCTTCCTCACTGTCCACGATACTGGCTATTTGTGTCATCTGCAAACATACTAACCATGCCTTGTACATTCTCATCCAAATCATTGATACAGATGACAAACAGCAATGGGCCCAGCACCACCCCCGAGGCACACCACAAATCACAGGCCTCCACTTTTACCTTTCACTATTACCCTCTGCTTCCTACCATCAAGCCAATTGTGCATCCAATTTGCCAGCATGTGCTCAACCTTTTCTTCCTTAAATAAACCATGCTCCAATACTCAACAACTTCCTCCTACACCAGGGCCTGATACTCTACAGCAACGCTCACCCCAAAACCTGACTAGGCCTGCTCATGCCATGCTCCACTACTCAGCAGATTGCACCTGCCATTCCAACCCCCATCTCAGAGCTGATACTCGCTGCCTCCCCGCAACCTCAATGATTAAAGGAGAATACATAATATTCTACAAGCATATCAAGGGGGAAAAGAATAACCAGGGAAAGAGTAAAGCCCATTCAGGACTAGGGGAAATACATGTGTGAAACCAGAGAACATTAGCAGTGTGTTAAAACAGTACTTCAAAACTGTCTCCATTCAGGAGGAGGATGTAGCAATCAGGAAATTGAACTGTGAGGTTCTTGAGCAGATCTCCATTTAGAGAAGCAAGGTTTGATCAAGGAAAATCAGCATGGTTTTGTCAGATGAGGCCATAACTGAGAAATCTGGTGGAATTTTTTGAAATGGTGACCAGGTGTGTAGATGAGGGCGTAGGGCAGTCAATGTAGTTTACGTGAATTTCAGCAAGGTCTTTGACAAGGTCCCACATGGCGAAATGATAAAGAAGGTAAAAGCACATGGGATCCAGGATAACCTGGTAAGATGTAGTCAACATTGGCTTAATGGAAGAAGACAAAGGGTGACGGCAGATGGCTGTGTGTGTGACTGGAACCCAGTGTGCAGTGGCATTCCAAGGGGATCAGTGCTGGGTCCCTTATTGTTCATGATTTTCATAAATGGTGTAGTTGAGAACATTGGGAGGATGGAGAATTAAAAGTAAGTTTGCAGATGATTGGCTGGCTAGTTGACAGTGAGGAAAAGGTCCTAGGTTGCTTCAGAATATAAACAGATTGATCAGATGAATGATCAGTGGCAGATAGAATTTAACCATGGTAAATGGGAGGTGACATATGTTGGTAGAAGGGACAAGACAAGGGAGTACTGAAAGAATGGCAGGACACTAGGTAGCTCAGAGGAA